AACCTCTAATTTTTGTGTATAGAAATCTCCCCCGCAGATGCTTATCTAAATTTAACCTTTTTGTTTCTATTTAATCTGCTTAATAACATTCTAATATTTTTTTGTCTTTAGAGATCCCCCCGCTGATGCTTATCTAAATTATAACCTTTTTGTTTCTATTTAATCTGCTTAATAACATTCTAATATCCAATATGGTGATGGAGCACAATAATGCCCAACCCATAAATCTTAGAGCTATATGATTAAACAACAAATCCATAATTTTGGATCCTAATATGGTTGATGGGGTGATGACTTGTACACTTATTAATTTTCTAATAAAAACCTCTATTTTTTGTCTTTTAGAGATCCCCCGGCTGATGCTTATCTAAATTATAACCTTTTTGTTTCTATTTAATCTGCTTAATAACATTCTAATATCCAATATGGTGATAGAGCACAATAATGCCCAACCCATAAATCTTAGAGCTATATGATTAAACAACAAATCCATAATTTTGGATCCTAATATGGTTGATGGGGTGATGACTTGTACACTTATTAATTTTCTGTATGTGGGGCACATAGTTTAAGATACACATAAATGCAGCTAACACACTTGCAATGGATCTCCTCTTATGTTTTACGTCATCAGGAGTGCTGACTAGAATTGCAGAATCTTGGTTAGACAACTGGAGAGGGTGAATGTCACTCTGATGGAATTGCATGCCCAAATTGCATTTTGGATCAACACGTACAATGCTCTTGTTATGCATGTAAAAGTCTCTTAAACAACCATTGATTTGTAAGTCTCTCTAAATTTTCTCCCTACCCTTGTGCAGGCATATTTATCATATGGAATTCCCCACAGCTCTCTAAGAAAGCTAGCCTTGATCCACAAGGTAATTCACTTATTTGCTAGTACAATGGGTTTTTCTGGCAGCTAAAGAAGACTTGTGTATCTCATTACAAATGAATGCTTTCTCTTGAAGTCCTGTCCACCAAGTGTCATTTCGGTATTTTTTTTCTTTCTGAAAGATGGATTAATACATTCATTGGTTCATCCCATTTTAAAATTAAAAGTTAGTTGGTTTGATCTTTGTTTCCTTCTTTTATATTCAAGTCTATTGCTCTTGCCTTTCGAGACATGGACTAGAAGATCCCCATTAAAGACAATCAGAATATTATCTTACTCTTTTTGGCCATTACGTAAAATGCTCAAATACCTTTTCATTTTCTATTGTCAATGTTTGAGAAGTTATCTAGATATTTGGTTTTCATGCCCGAAAAAAAAGGTTCAATCTAAGATAAGTGGAGCAAGAAAAAAGAACCAATGCTTTGGTCTATCTGTGTATTCTAAGTTTGGAAAGAAAAAGAAAAAAGATGATGAGCTTTTTGGTATCGTGCAGGCTGCTTACAATATTGGGGGCCAAGTTATCAGTGCGAATGCCATAGAGCAATCCATGTTTGGCTTCCAAACACCCTGAATTGGACGGGTATTCACTACTCACCATACTCTCTCTGATATGCAACAGGAATGCTGACATCCATTGAATTATTTCGTTTATTTCATAATTTAAATGGTGTGGCAAATCATTTGAGCTCTTCTTATGAATGACAACTTGAACAGTGGATTTTCGTTTGTTTCTTTTTTTCTTTTTTTCTTTCTTTTATATGAATACCATGTTTTAGAATACTCATTTGATCTACTTTTGTGTTTCCAGTGGCTTGAAACCCTCCTTTCAACTGCCTGGAGGAAAAAATTTGGTGAAGACGGACAACTTCGCAATTCCAAATTGGGTCTTCCATTCTCTGAACCCCTTGTTTGCTTTGCTCTTTGTACTGGAGCCTTTTCTGATCCTGCGGTAACCACTTTGCTTTTATTGGTCCTGTTTTCACATTGTATTGAAGATTTAATATATAATTGTCTAATGAATGTTAGGTTGTTATTTTCAGTCTTTTCCCCTAATGCTACACATGTTTATTGGTCAATTACAGTGCTTTGGCACATGATTTTCCCTTGAAATTTCTGTTCATAACTTATCTTTTCTGCCTTATCTCTATGTTTAAAGAAATCTGGTGCTGCTGCAGAAAACTACTTAAAAAACAGAATAATTTTTTAATATAATCAAAAGCATATGGTAGCAACTTTTACTACTGAATTGTTTTGATTGTAAATCATTCTTCTAAAAACACACTCTGATCAGTGATATACTGCTACCACTATATATTTTGCTAACGGGATTACTTGTAGCTAAAAGTATACACAGCCCCAAATGTTAGAGATGAACTTGAAGAGGCAAAGGAGTTTATTAAAGCAAATGTAGTGGTGAAGAAGTGAAGGAAAGTTTTTCTGCCAAAGATACTTGAAAGGTTTGCAAGAGAAGCGTCTTTTGGCTCCAATGATCTTCTCAAATGGGTCACTGAGAATGCTGATGAGAAGCTTAATGATTCAATACATAAATGCATTGACAGTAAATCCAGCAAGAAGGCATCTCAGATCATAGAGTGGTTGCCATACAATTCAAGGTTCCGGTATGTATTCTCAAAGGAACTATCTGAGAAGCAATGGTGCTTGTGATTCATTCCAAATGCTGGAAGAAACAAACCTGACTGACCACTTGAGGAAGCTAGTAGCTCATCAGACTGGTCAATCAAAACCTTCTAATTGTTTTCTTAATGTGCATCTGATCTTTTCTTGTTTTGAACTCTAGTTTCTTGCCCTACAAGCTTCCGTCTCACGAGTACTTTGTATTAACCAGGTAGTTTCGATCTAACAAGCTTACCATTACTTGCAGCTGTTGTATAATTCTAGTTTCTCACCGTATTTCTACATTAATAAGGTTGCTTGGTTTGTGCAGTAAGACAGTACAGTGTAATTGTTTGTCATTTCTACTTTATCCATGCTTCTAAATTCTAATGGCAGCACTGTATGAAATTATATCATTAAAAAAAAAAAAAAGTAGAATTAAAGTAGAATCAAATTTCTAAATTCTAATAGACAATTATCACAACCACCAAAAAGTAGAATTAATGAACTGAATTGGAACAATAAATTCGATTACATGAAATGAAATTAAGAATTTAATTGGAAGAACAATGAAATGAATCAGATAAAATACATGAAAATTTCAATGTGGGAACCCTAAACTCCACGTCATCATCATAATCGACTTGGACTAGGACTAGGCAGGCAAGGAGAAACGACACAGAGGGCAGAAGTGGCTTTTCTCCAACCACTCCACGATGCAAGCTTCGTGGTAAATATGCGAACATGGCAGACCACGACCTTCCGAACCCACCGCAATCTCCGCTATACAAACCGAACAACAAACCCCAGCCGTTTCCACTCTCACCCTCTCCAGCTTCTCAATTGCAGATTTACTCGCCGGTACAAACGCGGGCTGCACTTCATCATCTGCCGCCACGTCATCAACGATCGCATCAATCTTGATGCACGCCTCCATATGCACACGTAACCCCCGGCTGCCGCTGCTACACACTCTCCCAACAAGACTCCGTGAGGCGTCATGGACTATAGTAGCAGCGACGCACCGAAGGTCCTGGGACGAGACGTGGATAGACTTGGATAGCTCGTTGGATATGGTAGCCAAAATAGATGACTTGGAGCAGTCCTCAATTAGTAGGTCAATCTCAAGTTTGTCGTGGTAATCGAAGCTCTCGGTGGGTTGGCCCATGTGATCGTCTTCTAACATCATTAATTTGTAGTGATCTTCCAAATCCTCATCGTCCTCTAAATTCGAGGGCAACACAATTTGTGTGACTGTGGCGTTGATGTCTAGCCACAATTGGGATTTCATGGCGGTTTCGGGTAATTCGGAGACTTCGAGGATACGTGTGGCGTAATAGGGATCGCCCAACACCTCCCAATACTCATCGGCCATAACAACAACAAGAGCAGCAAACTCTAAGAATAATGAAAGAAGGAAGAATGCGGGTAGAGCAGCAAACTCTAAGAAAAATGGAAAAAGGAAGAATGCAGGTTGAAGGGAGACCCTGAGACTGAAAGTGAGGCGTTGAGAGTAGAAATGAGAAATGCACGGCTAGCTATTAGGATATATATATATACTAGTTTCCTAGTTAGATTAGGATTTTGGGGTTCTTGCCTGGCAATCAAGTCACGCGGGTTCTACTTTTCTAATTAATTATGTTTTTTTTTTAAAACCGAAACTCAAGATTCCTTTTTCTTATTTAAATTTGTTGGAATTTAAACTCAGGATTCAGAGATGTATTTTCAGATATTCAGTTATGATTTTGTACAGCTGTTCCGGCATATCCCTCCACTTCCAATGAAACATAATTCACCAAATTATAACAAGTAACGAAAAATAAGGAAACGAATTAGACAAGTATGTGATCAAATCAAATCCCACATATCGGATGTAGATATGGATACTTAAAAGTTGAGTGGTATATCTCTATCTCCACATACTATCTCTCTTTCCTCTGGCTTTTGTTTGTGAAAAATGTCTCTGCTCCGCGCTCGCTCATCTTCTCGGCCTCGACCTCTCCAATTTACTCCATTTTCTCCGACACTTTGAATAATTAACTAGTTCAACAGTTGATATTGTGTGGCAATGTACTTGCATCTAATTATTCCTTAGTTTTTAAGAATTTTGATTATTACTTGCAGGTCACATGCCCGGATGGAGGGCCAATTCCAACAAATAAGAGGGCTAACGAAGGTTTTCCTTCAATTTCAGCCATCCTGATAACTTGTAGCTGAAAAACCGTGGTGATAACTTGTAGCTGAAGAAACTGAATGAATCGTTGTAGGATTCATTTTTGTAATATCAGGAACAACACTGAGTTTTATTTTTGAGGAATGTTAATGTATGAGTGCTAATATCTCAACACATCACCAAAAATAAGCTTTGTCGGGCAAGCGTCGGTTCAATTAATATAGTAACGACAGTGCAACTAGTACCAAATGGTAATAAAGCTGAGTGCAAATTCTAGTTAAAAACTTAATTTTTCGGGAAAATCAATCAATCGAAAGGTTACCCCAAATAATATGGTTTGGATTTTGGCTCTTCAGATTCAAATCCCTCAAATCAAATCCATAGATCCAAACAGACCTTACAAATTTCACTTTTTGACAAGATCGCACCGGCAATTTGAATCCAGACGAGCATAAGAAGATTTCAATTAAATGAAAACAAATTGGACATATTTGTAAACTCAAGACAGTCAACTACCCAAAAAGAAACACCATACTATTACTTTCTTCAGCCCCAAAATATAAGCTAAGTTCCTAAGAAAATTGGTTTGGAAACTCTTCCCTCTGGCTGGAATTCCACGCACCTCAAGCCTCAACCCTCTCAACATTCTCCAGGAGCAGCTTACCAGTTGGCTTGGCCAGAAGATCTGTGTGCTCTTGGAATGGAGACTTTGTGAACCGAGTCTCCCTCCAGAATTCCGGTGTCAAAAACCCATAAGTTTTCAGCAGACAATCAAAAGTTGCCTGCAAATACAAGGCATTACATTCACACCACATCAATAACTCTTACAAATACCAAAGATATAATATAACACGGCGGTATAGATACGTAAAAGGATACCAAAAACTTCCTAAAAACAGATATAACAACTTTGGTTAGGGTTTTCTCATGCCTCTGTTCGAGTTTTGGGTAAAGGTATTTTCGATCATCATAAAGACCTAAAGGGGTTCCCAGAAATGGGTGTTTATGCATCAGCATCACATTTTGACAATTCAAACTTCTGACGAAAATGGATTTCTTGATTGGCTGTCTAAAGTTATACTACATTTTCTAAACATTTCAGAAAAAAAAAAAATGGATTTCTTGATTGACTGCCTAAATGTATACTACATTTTCCAAACATTTCAGTGCCAATTTTGATGGGTTCTGAGGGTGCACAAATCTAAGTTTGAAACATGATTATATTTCATGGAGAAACAACAAACATATACAGCAAAAAGCATATCATAGAATTCAATTCAATAAAATAATAGTAATGAAATGGGTCAAAACGACAGCGATTTGAGTCAAACCTTGACGAAATTTCCCAAAGTTTTAGTGGAGCCCCTGGACGAAGTAAACACATCATCAATCCCAGCGAACTGCAGCACCTTCTTCGGAACCCTAGCGGCAACAATCCCAGCGCCACGTGGAGCAGGCACCATTCGTACAGTGACGGAGCCACACTTCCCGGTGACCTTACACGGCACCGTATGGGGCTTCCCGATCTTGTTCCCCCAGTACCCTCTCCTCACCGGGATCACAGACAGCTTGGCCAATATGATTGCGCCACGTATCGCAGTGGCAACCTCCTTGCTGCACTTCACGCCGAGCCCGACGTGGCCGTTGCTGTCGCCGACGACGACGAAGGCCTTGAACCGGGTTCTCTGCCCGGCCCGGGTCTGTTTCTGGACTGGCATGATCTTCATGACCTCATCCTTGAGGACGTTGGGGCCCACAAGGGCATCGATGATCTGGTGCTCCTTGATCGGGAGTGAGTGCAGGTAGATCTGCTCCAGGGAGGAGATCTTCGCCTCTTTCACCAGACGGCCTAGCTTCGTCACTGGGACCCACTTCTCCTCCTCCTCGCGCCGGCCAGCGCGACGCCTGCCACCACGTCCGCGGTCGCCGCCTCGCCCTCGCCCACCGAACCCGCGCCCGAAGCCTCCACGTTCTCCGCCGCCGCCTCTCTCTGCCATTGTTTTGCTCTGCTTTGTTTTGCTTGAGTTTTAGGGTTTAGAGAGAGTAAACGAGGGAGATGAGACTCACGCGGCTGAAAAATGATGAAACAGTAGATGGGACCATAAAAGACTGATATGTTTTCTTTTGAACAGAAACGACGTCGTCTCACTCGCGTTAGGGTTAAAGGGCTCAAGATAAAATGGACGACAAAAGTCCACAAGAGAGCTGGGCCAAATCTCAGCTGTAGCTAAACAACGAGCCCAACCAAATTAAAGCCCAATAGACGACCAAACAAAACTCAGCTGTAGCAAACGCCACTATATCAGATCATTTTCAGGTCAATCCGTATAGAAAATTAGTAGGTTTAACCCGCATAGAAATTAGTGATTTCAACCAGCACGATAAAAATTCAAATCATTTTCAAGTCAATCCATCATGACCCATTAAAATACCTATATAATCGATTTATTAAACGGATCGTGTCATAAATAGTGAGTTGTCGTATTACTTTAATACCCAGTAACTCACTCAAAATGAATGGAAATGATGACTTCAGCTCACACACAACGGGATTCCACCCCCTGCCACTTCCATTCCTCTTCTAGAGCCTTATCCACCATGTTGCTGATAACTCTATGATTATATGCTACCACATTTGATATTTATAATGTCTCTACAAGCTGTTTTTCAAAGAAGTAGAATTCACATGTATATCATTTGATATCTATATTTATAACAAGTACATGTTAATTACCAAAAACAATTACATGCAAAAAAAATTTAGTAATTTACACGTTTCTTTGAGCATCAAAACTAATTCTCACATTATTGTGATCATGGAAAAATTATTTGAATAGTCATCTCTTTCCCTACTTTTTTTTTTTTGTCTACATTTTTACCTCACTAGTTATTATTTGTTACCACTTAGCGGCAGTGGCATACCTATTAAGGTGCAATAAGGTGCAACTGCACCTCCTTTCGCCGAAAAATCACCTGGAGAGGCTGGAATTTGCCCCTTTGATGGTGCTCACCACTTGTTCGATTAAATGCCTCAAAGAGGCTTTTCTGTTTTGGTAGCTAAAAATTGTATCTACTATGGCAAGTCTGGAGAATTGCATACTTCTTTTTTTTGGCATAAAGGCGCTGCACGAGGAAAATGATGCGTTGTTCCTTTTTAAGTTTCTCATTAAAACGATGTCGTTTGAGTATATGATGATGGATGAGTTTTATTTAAATGAAACGATGTGTTTTGCTCAAACCTTCTTAGCATATGAAAAAAACTGAAAGAAAAAAAAATAGAACAATGGATCAATCACCAAATTAAGAAAATAAAAAATGGGACAGTGAGGATGTTGTCCATCCCTTCCTCTCACCTCATGTCATCATGGAACGGTAGGGATGCTATTTTAAATGCAACGGTGCGTTTTGTCTATAGTAAAACCTTTTATTTTTATTTTTTTGGGAACATCTTAGTTATATTTTTGGTAAAATACCATGAGGTGTCTCCACACCCCAAATGGTGAGATTAATCCCCACTCGGGGTTCGGCTTGCCCTTGACCACAAAGTACTCCCAACTGCATTCAAACTCCTACCATTGAGGCACTAGGTAGTCTGCCAACTGGATGTAGCAGTTTGCCAACCGCACCACACCTTGTGGTTGAACATCTTAGTTATTTGATATTACATTATTCTCAGTCTAATATGCAAACTTAAATTTCTTTCTTAAAATAAAATAAAAATCATGTCATAAAAGGCTTACGCCTCAATGTTTCAAGGCTTAGCGACAAAAAATGTTTCGCCTTTTAAAATTTTGGTAGGAACTAGGGGGTCTACTCTGGGGTTTTATATGTGAAAAAGTGGGTGGGTAAAAACAAAGGCCACGTATGTGTGGCTCCGAAATATGGATTGTATTAGTTGGTAGACAATGCTTGGCTTCTGATATATCAGGAGCCATTCCTTTTCAAAACAAGATGTGGCCTCTTACAAACGACACATGTTTTTGTTATTTTCTTCTTCTTCTTTTTTTTAATTTTTATTTCACCCACTCTCTCTCTTTTCGCCCAATCTCCTCTCCTCACATGCTCTCTCATCTCTCATCTCTTCATCTCCTTCCCTGCAACTCAGATATGGAGGAGAGAGAGCGATGTTGGAGAAAAATTTTCTCCCCCAAGTTGTACCCTGTTCTTCCACCATTCCCAAAATTTTCAGAACTCCCTAATAAATACCTAGTGTTTGGGTGATGATGATGGAGGAGGACTGATTGGATGATGATGATGATGATGGAGGAAGAGTGATTGGAGAGAGAATGGAGAATGGAGGAAGGGGAGGTGACGCGGAGATGGAAGATGGCGGTCGACGTTGCACTGAGGATGGAAAATGGCAGCGATCGGGAAGAGAAATGGGCTGAAATTTTCTTCTAAAGAATTGTAGGGGAAGAGGCAGAGACGAAGAGATGAGAGGAGAGAGCAGGGGGAGAAGAGGAGAGAGAGTCGGTGAAACAAACAAAAAAAATACAAATGTCGTTTTTTAAGGAGGCCACATCATGTGTTGAGGAGAAATGACTCCTAATATATCAAAGCCAAGCATTGTACTTGGTAGCTATTGTTTTTTCTTTGGAGCATTAAACATTTTAAATAATGCCCTTTTCTAAAAAGTCCCATGATTAAGAGAGCCAGAGACTTGCATTGCGATCGGCCTTCAACAATCCACATGCAATGAAGGGGAGAATTTACCCAACATGAGCAAATTTGGATACAGCAAACCCATTTCTCCTCTGTTCTGGGTGACTTGGTTTGCTGCCCTGGTTATCTAGGGTGGTGTCTCCTTGTATTGGACTTTGTCCTTGCTGCTTTGGCCGTTCTAAAGTGTCACCAAAAAAATAAAAAGGACTAACTCTCAAAGATGCACTTGCAAAATAATTGGAACATAGAGTAAGCAAAATAATTGTGAAAGGGATGAAATTGATTCTTGTAACTTGCCATCATTAGTAAACTCAAGACAGTCAACTACCCAAGAAACACCATACTATTACTTTCTTCAGTGCCAAGACATAAGCTAAGTTCCTAAAAAAATTGGTTTGGAAACTCTTCCCTCTGGCTGGAATCCCACGCACCTCAAGCCTCAACCCTCTCAACATTCTCCAGGAGCAGCTTACCAGTTGGCTTGGCCAGAAGATCTGTGTGCTCTTGGAATGGAGACTTTGTGAACCGAGTCTCCCTCCAGAATTCCGGTGTCAGAAACCCATAAGTTTTCAGCAGACAATCAAAAGTAGCCTGCAAAAACGAGGCATTACATTCACACCACATCAATTACTCATACAAATACCAAAGATATAATATAACACTGCGTTATAGATACGTAAAAGAATACCAAAAACTTAGTCACCCTCCTAAAAACAGATATAACCACCAGCATCATAAAGGTATTTTCGATCATCATAAAGACCTAACGGGGTTCCCAGAAATGGGTGTTTATGCCCATCAGAATCACATTTTGACAATTCAAACTTCTGAAAAAAACATGGATTTCTTGATTGGCTGTCTAAAGTACTACATTTTCCAAACATTTCAGACAAAAATGGCGATTTCTTGATTGACTGTCTAAATTTATACTACATTTTACAGTGCCAATTCTGATGGGTGTGCACAAATCTAAGTTTGAAACATCATCATATTTCATGGAGAAACAACAAACATATACAGCAAAAAGCATATCATAGAATTCAATTTAATAAAATAATAATACTGAAATGGGTCAAAACGACAGCGATTTGGGTCAAACCTTGACGAAATTTCCCAAAGTTTTAGTGGAGCCCCTGGAGGAAGTAAACACATCATCAATCCCAGCGAACTGCAGCACCTTCTTCGGAACCCTAGCGGCAACAATCCCAGCGCCACGTGGCGCAGGCACCATTCGTACAGTGACGGAACCACACTTCCCGGTGACCTTACACGGTACCGTATGGGGCTTCCCGATCTTGTTCCCCCAGTACCCTCTCCTCACGGGGATCACAGACAGCTTGGCCAATATGATTGCGCCACGTATCGCAGTGGCAACCTCCTTGCTGCACTTCACGCCGAGCCCAACGTGGCCGTTGCTGTCACCGACGACGACGAAGGCCTTGAACCGGGTTCTCTGCCCGGCCCGGGTCTGTTTCTGGACCGGCATGATCTTCATGACCTCATCCTTGAGGACGTTGGGGCCCACAAGTGCATCGATGATCTGGTGCTCCTTGATCGGGAGCGAGTGCAGGTAGATCTGCTCCAGGGAGGAGATCTTCGCCTCTTTCACCAGACGGCCTAGCTTCGTCACTGGGACCCACTTCTCCTCCTCCTCGCGCCGGCCAGCGCGACGCCTGCCACCACGTCCGCGGTCGCCGCCTCGCCCTCGCCCACCGAACCCGCGCCCGAAGCCTCCACGTTCTCCACCGCCGCCTCTCTCAGCCATTGTTTTGCTCTGCTTTGTTTTATTTGGGTTTTAGGGTTTAAAGAGTAAACGAGGGAGATAAGACTCACAAAGCTGAAAATTGAAACGGTAGATGGGAATAAAAGACTGATTTTTAAACGAAAACGACGTCGTCTCACTCGCGTTAGGGTTAAAGGGCTCAAGATAAAATGGACGACAAAAGGCCACAAGAGAGCTGGGCCAAATACCAGCCGTCATAAAACAACTGGCCCATAAACGGCTGAAGCAAATCTAACAGAGATTACAACACAACAATGTCAAACTGGTCCTAAAATTCAACGATATTTTAAATAGGAGTGATTGTTGTTAAATTATCTTACCCAAATAAGAGCAACATGATGAATGGGGCTCTAAGAGCACTTCCAGCAGTTGCCCCTTGCCATGGCAAGGGGGGGGCTAGGGCTGCCACTATTCATGTGAATAGTGGCTGCCCTAGCAATGTTGGTTTCCAGCAGTTTCCATGGCAAAGGGCAAACACTATTCATTTTTTTTGTTTTTTTCACAAATTTGTTTACCTAAATAATTAATTTGGACAATATTTTTGGGTTCCTATGTGCATTGACGGACCCATAAATTTTTTAGCGGAGGTGTAATATTGACTAAGTATGAAAAATGATTTTTCGGAATAATCATTTTCTCAAGATAA